CCCACCAGGAGCCCGAGTTGGGCTCACCTGTTCAACAGGTTAACTTGGGCCTCATCCAAGCAGCACTGTGGGGTCCCAGCTGCTGTCGGCTCCAATGTACAGACACTCACCCACTCGGATTCCCAAACTTATATAGGAGATGAGCTTTAAAGCTGTCAGGGTACCAGAAAGGCAACCCAGTGTGGTGTGAAGTGCTGGCTTCTGCCTCTGCTTTCTACTCTCTGTGTGACCTTGGGCAAGTCCCCTCCATTCTCTGGGCGTCCCTCATTTTCCTCTTCTGTAAAATTAGTGGAGGTGGTGGAGCATCTGATCACTAAGGTCCATTCGGAGGCAGTCTGGTACAGAGAGCTGGCCTTGGACACACACTGGCTTCAAGACCCTTAATTTCTCAGTGCTTCAGGCAACTCTCAAAGATCATATGTTACAGAGAAGGTGCTGATCTGTGTTGGTAGAGGGACTTTTCCTCCTGCAGGAGTCCTGTCCTCATTCCTAAGGTCCTTTCTAGATCTGGATTCTCTGAATATAGTCTGACCAGCTTAGCTTGAACTAAAGATCATAGAATTTAGAGACAAAAGGGATAGCAGTCCCATCCCCTAATGTTTTAGAGGAGGAAACTGAGGTACAGAAGGGAAGTAACTTTCCCAAGGTCACACAGGCAGCAAGACCTCAAACCTCTAGGAGCAGTGTGGTGTTTTCACTGCTATTTTCCCCCAAGCCTAGCACTTGGCTGTTTGCCTTGGGGACATAAGCACCTAACCACTCTCCACCTCCATTCCACTGAGACTGCCTGAGGAGGGGGGAGAAGCGTGTTCTTTCTCCCAGGGGCCACCTGAGGGGGGGGGGAAGCCCAGCAATAGTTCTCCACACTGCAATATTTTCCAAAGGTTTCATGTTGCCACTTGGGGGGGTGCCCAGTCTTTCTCTCCCCATCCCCCCCCCAGCTGTCTTCTACACACAGAGGCCCTGCAGACATGGAGCCGGCCTCCTAACCACTGGACTGCCTGTGCTCTTGGGTTTGGTTCCATGAATCTTTACTATTGCCCCCTCTCCAGAATGGGCTCAGGGCCAGGCCCCTGACTGCTCCCCCCCAAACTCAGTGGAGAGGGCACACACAGGGGCCACAGAGGCAGTGCATCTCACCTCAAGGTAATCTAGGAGATTTCAGCTGGGCAAATGAGCACAGGCCTACGGCCCTGAGGAAGTGAAGCCAAGTGAAATGAAATTATAAGGCAATAATAATTCTAGAAACTCACAATAATGTTGACAAAGCTCTTCCCTCCCAAGCAGGTGACATCGGCCAGACACGTTCTATTATTAACTCCAGGTCCCAGGATGCCATTTGATGTTTGAGAGAAGTGAAATAAAGGGTCTTGCTGGGGCTCATGAAGCTGACAAATGCCAGAATGGGAATTCCAACCCAGTTCTTTCCCAACTCCAAATCTAGCTCCCTTTCCATCAAGGGACACAGCCTCCCCAAATCAAGTGAAGTTAGAATCATAGAATTTTCAATCTGCAGGGAATCTCAGAGACATGAAGAAATATGGGCAACGGGCCACGTTCTCCCCTGCCTCCCTGAGAGGTCTTTGTATCTACTCTCCTGTTATGGGACTGAACACAGAGTGGGTGGTCTGATCATTGCAGGTCCCCAAGAAAGATGAGGATATCAAAATCCCCTATGCCACCGGTGGCCCTCAGAACTAGAATATTGGTGGCTGGAGGAAAATGAGTAAGAGGGGGTATAATGAGTAAGGAAAATGAGTAGGGAGGGAGAGTGTGGTGGAAAACTTGCTTGATTTGGCTGGAATCAGAAGACTTGGTTGTTGGGTTTTTTAAATTTCAATTTTATTTTATTTTCAATTCCAAAATCTCTCCTTCCCCCTTCCCATTGAGAAGGTAAGAAATTCAAAAGCCATTACAGTGAAGGAGTCCTAGGTTTGAACGTGTCACTTAGTAGGTCTTTGACCTCAGGCAAGTCAATCCCTCTCTGGGCCTCAATTCTCTACCCTTTGAGAGGCTGGATTAGAATACGGGGGCCCTTAACTTTTGTTGTGTCATGGATCCTTTTGGGCACTCTAGTGAAACCTTTTCAGAATTACGTTTTTAAAGCATTGAAGGAAATGCTATTTCAGTTAGAGAAGAGTGAAAATTAAAGATGTCATTGTTTTACCATCTAAGGTCATAGATCACCCCTCAAATCTATTGACTGGACCCTTTGGGGGTCCCTGAGCCCCAGGGTAAGAACCCCTGGTCTAGATGGTCTCAGGATTCCCTTCCAGCTTGATGTCTAATGGTCTAGATCTCTTGGGCTCCAAATACTTTGAATTCTAAGCCTGTCCCAGCTTGAACCTTCTCTGTTCAAAGGTCCCTTGATGCACTAACATTCAGGGACCGTATGAAGACTGCGTAAATCCAGACAGAGACAATTCGGAATTTCCAGGGTAGCCTAAGTGTAGTGCTAGAAAGATGTCAATGGTTTTGTTTAGGGGGCTGGGAAAAGGTCATGGAGGGACTTGACCCCCTAGGTGTTCAGGAATGGCAGAGATGGGCCAATTCTGCTCTTTCCCAAGAGCCAGTTCTTGCTGAGGAATCTCCATTTCGTTGTGACTGTAATGACCTCAAGCTACTCTGACAGGCTCCGGGCTGAGCCCTGGGGCAGCCCCCTCTGACCTGCAGGGCAGCTTCTCCCTTCTCCTCCCTACCCTCAATCCTTATCTTCCCCCTGGGCACAGCCCCATAGGAATAGCAAGGAAGGGGGCTTCTGCTGTCCATCTGCTGCCAGCAGCTGTGCTAAGGTTGGTTCTTTCCCCCACCCCAAGCTACCAAGACCTTGGCGGTAGGACCGAGGCCAGGACAGCATAGCTCACACTTCTCCAGCACCTTAAAGGCCTTCTTCCCTCATACCAACTCTGAAAAGTCGTCAGTGCAGTCATTTCTGTTCCCATTTGACAGATAAGGAAACTGAGGCTCCGTGAGGGAAACCAAAAGCATTTATTTAGCCAAAAAACCAAACCAAAACAAAACTGCAAAAGCACTATGCTCCATGCTGGAGGTGGGGAGGGGGAGGAGCATACAAAGCTTAGCTAAGGGAGTAGCTAGCTGGCCCAGAGGGTGGAAAACACCACCAAAAGACCACAGTACAAGGTGCCCTGCTAAGGTCCCACAGATGGAAGTGTCACAGCAGACAGCCAAACCTGTCTTCGGCACTACGGTTACTTTCCACAGAAGCCCACAGGCCATGAGCTAAGGAGACCCCTGAAGTTTTCCCCTCGAGGCTCCGGCTGAGCCATGGGGAACCTTTGAAGTCGGCAGGAGTTCTGGCCACATAGCCCAGCAGGCTCCAAGTTCGATGCCCCTACTACGTACCAGTTAGCACACCCCGGGCCCTGGAGCAGGCCCCAGAACTGGCGGTGCTTGGGGGAGGGAGACTGAAATAGGTCACCCAGGAAGAGGCTTCCACCCCGATTTCCCCAGCCTGAGGGCAATGAACTGAGAGCAGTTTGGGCACAACGCCACGGTGATCGCCCGTTGCAGGGCACAGAGGGACCCTATCTGTCCACTTGGCAACCCTTTGCCCTTTGGGAGAAAGGTCGCCTCCAGGTCTCCGAAGTTCATCTCTTCCCCTGTCCCCCCCCACCCCCCCAGCCTCAAGGCTTCTCTGGGGGTAGGAGGGAGGGTGGCCTAGGGCTCCTGGCCAAGCCCAGCAAAGAGCAGGCCAAGGTCAGCTCCAGCGTCCTCCTTTGACCAGGGGTGGTGGTGTTGGGTTCGGCTGGACTGGGCACCCTAGGCGCCCTGGGCCAGAGGGTACTTCTCAGAGCCTTCAGTCCCTACACTGGGACATAGACTTTTCTGCGATGTGGAGGGCAGGAGATTTAGGCCACTTTGGTTTTCTTGAACCTTCCGAGCCCACGTATGGGTTTAACAGCAGGCGCTCGTGTGACTGTGGCTCTGTGGTTTGTGTGTGTGCGTGTGCAAGCTCGAATCTCCCGGGTCTGGTGACAGGAAGGGAAAGGAGACCTTTCCCCCCCCCCCATCCCACTTCTATCGAGAGAATCAAGACCCAAGGGCTTCCCTCTGATGCCAATGGTGGGACCCTCAGGTCCTGGGTCTGACCTGGGTTCCCACACATACTTTCGCAGCCCGAAGCCCCCAGCCTCTAGTGCAGGGCTAGGAATGTGGTGGGAGGCAAGCAGCTGCCGGGAGTCCCACCACCAGTAACGGGGGGCGGGGGCGGGGTGTATAGCACGCTTTGGTTGAACTGGACGGCGGCGGGCAGTGGGCGACCCTGGCAAAGCAAGTTATAACCAGGGCGGAAAAAGACAGGGGCACGCGCATACACACACGCACATACACCCCCTACACGCGTATATACATACATATACACTCGTACACACGCACGCCTGCCATGTGCCCGTCTGCGCGCCGATCTGCCAAAATTTCTAAAGCATTTCTAGTGCAACCGGCCCGTGCCGAGCCATTCCGTGCCCACAGAAGCGGATTCCGCTCTTTGGAGAGCTCAGGAACCTGGTCTGTGCTTGCCTCCCTCCTCGTCTAGACTTGGGACAAGTAATAAATGTAAATACCGTCCCTCCCCCCGCCCCCAACCCCAGCACACACGCACGCACTGAGTATTTTAAACAAACCCCGGGAGGTGAATGGATGGAAACGTTTGCGAGGAAAAAAAAAAGTTCATTGCTTCCAATGGGGCGGCTGCTCCGAGCTCTGCCTGCCCAGGGGACCTTGCCCGCCAGCCAGGATGGCCCGAGCCACAGGCCCGCTGTTGGGAGTCTGGGGAGAGCGAGGCGATGGGGTCCCCAGTGTCAGCCGCAGGCGGGGCTGCAGGGCGCGCAGGTGGGTCGGAAGCTTGCCCCCGGGTGCACAGACGCACAAGCCAGCTCCTCTCCCGAAGGCGAACAGAGCGGAGGGAAAAGCCAGCCAGGTGAGTGCCGCTGAGGTGGCGGAGAGAGTGGGGCTGCAGGGCGTGGGGAGTGGGGGCCACTCACCTGCCTTAAACTCTTGCTGGCTTTTCTCCCCTTTCTCTTCCTCCAGCAGCAGTGTGTAGATGATCCCGAAGGAGTTCTGGATGCCGAAGATGGAGCCGTTGCACCAGGTGGCGGCGAACACCACGAGCCAGCCGTAGCCCCCCTCGGGGGGCTGGAAGCCCGGGCCGGGGCCGGAGCCGGGGCCGCGGGTGCTCACTGTGAGCTCGGGCTCGGGGCTGCTCACCGGCTCCTTCTCCTCCGCCTCCCAGGGCCCCTTCTCTCCTCCAGACTCGGGGCTCTGCAGGGCCATCGCGGGCGCGGGCGCGGGCGCGGGGAGCCGGTGGCTGCACGGCGCGGCGCGGCGCGGCACGGCTGGGCTGGGCTGGGCTGGGCTCCGCGCGGCGCGGCTGTTGTTGTTGTTCCGGCTGTTATTGCTGCTGCCGCCTCCTCCCGGCCCAGCGCCCTAGCTGCCCAGACCGTCCCGCGACAGACGGTCCCTCATACCCTCCTCTCCTCCTCCTCCTCCTCCTCCACCCCCCCCCCCCCCCCCCCCCCGCCCTCTCCCCCTGTCATCCCTTCCTCCTCCCCCCCTCCTCCTCCCCCCCCCTTCCTCCCACTGTCTGCAGCGGCTACAGACTTCTCACCGCTTCTCCTCCTCCTCCTCCTCTTCCTCCTCCCCCCATACACCCCCCCCCCGGGTACCTCGGGCCTGCCCCCTCCCCTCTATAGCCAAACTTAGCCGCCCTCGGTCTCCAGAGGCTGGCTAGGGCGGGAGGTGAGGTCAGAGAGGAAAGGGGGAGGTCAGACGGGCCCCGGGTCCTCAGCCCTCCCGATGGGTTGAGGGCCTGAATCCCCTGCGGGCGGAGGGCGGGGGTGAGGGGGGGGGTGGCGACTGTGCTCTCCTCCGCTCGGACTTATGACCAGGCCCCTTCCACCCGCCACCCAAGCACCAGCCCAGGACAAGGGGTGCATTTCGCTCACCTCTAATGGAAAAGAGATGGTTGGGCGTCGGACCCCACCCCTGCCCTCGAGGGGCACCCCACTACCCCCTTGTTCCCAGGGCTGCCCCGCCCTGGCCTGGCTTCCCGGGAGGTGGGCCCCGAAGGGGCCCCCGCGCCCGGGGATCGCGCTGGGGTGGGTGCGGGGTAGCCCCTCCTGGCCCTGAAGGCGAAGCCCCCACCCTTCTTGCCCCCCAGAGCTCCCGGGGCCTGTAAATCCGGGGGCCGGGAGGAGGCGGCCCCGCAGCGCCGGGCCCCGCCCCTTCGGGAAGTCAATCAGGGCTTTGTTTGCGCCGAGCCCGAGCCCCAGCCCCGAGCCTCCGGGGGCCGAGCTGGACGGGGGGCCGGGGCCAGGGGCCGGGGAAACGACGCCCGGCGGCCGTGGCAGAGGTGGGCACGACGCTGGGGGCAGGGCCGGCGGGGGAGAGGGCTCAGCGCGGGCCCCTCCCCTCTGCCCCAGGGCCGGACCGGACCGAGCCAGGCGGGGGCGGACTGAGTAGTGGCCAGCAGTTTGGGGAAGCAGGGGACAGGCCGCCAGGAGCCCCGGACTGGGTTCGTGGGCTGGGCTGGGCTGGGCTGGGGCCGCAGGCATGGAATGGAATAGAATGTGTAGTGCGGTGCCATACTGTGGTGTGCCCTCTGGTACCTTCCTGGGGCACATCCACTGCTATACCCGGGGCCCGGAGCCTCGGATGCTGCAGTCAATTCTCTTTCCCTCACCCCAGGGCTGGGGTTCCTCCCCATTGTCTCCCTTCCTCCTCTCTGTACCCTGTTGCCCTCCCCACCGTCCTGAAGAATGGGACACCAACCCCTGCCCAAGGTTGGCAGGGATCCAGAGAAACCTCCCCTAACCATCTCTGGGATCCTTATCAAAAGTCTGAAGGGAAATGAATCAGAGATCAGGAGAATCGTTAATGATGGAGTCCAGGGTCTGGGATCACCCTCTCCTCAGTGGGATCCCACCCCATTTCAGGATCCCTAAGTGCACCTCCAGCCTGGGCACTTGTCATATCGGAAAAGCCCAGCCTGGCCAGCTCAGCCTACTCTAAAGAAAGTTTGGAAAGGGAACTGTGCCTTTGGTACACTCCCTTCTCTCCTTTGGTGACTTCAGTGACCTGACCTCCTGACCTGGGCGCATACTCTGAGATGCCCAGTGTCCTAGGGTCTTCACTACTGTCTTCACCCATCCAATCATAGGCATACTGTGACCTATTGCCCCTACACTGCTCTCTGTTAGCCTCAATTAGCCAATCTGATAAACTCCTTAGTGCTAAGATGTTTATAGAGGATGTTACTTTTACTAAAGGCATGTTTTCCAGGCACTGGGCCTGATTGGAAGAGACCTTTGGTTCAGGGGACCCTCACTTCACAGCTACCCACTTTCCCAAGGTCTTCTAATTCCCAAATCGAGTTCATACTCAGATTCTCTTCTTGGTTGTTTCCTTGTGCAGACTGCTGGAAACTATTCCCCCTCAGCTCAAGGGTTAGGGTTAGAGTTAAAGGAGAGGCAGAAAAGACAGTGAAGATACCCAGACACACCTACCAGTGGTTTCCTCCCCCACCCTCAGCTCTAGTATAGAAACCAAGGTTAGAAACCAAACAGAAGTAAACAAATCAATCTTAACCGGTGCACTCACTTCCATTGAGAAGAATGGGACAGAGTGCATAGAGGTTTGAACCTGGAAAGAATTCAGGAAGACCTGGGTTCCAATCCTGCTTCAGAATCTGTGTGGCCATGGGGAATTCACTTAACCACTGAGCCTCAGTTGACTTGTCTCTAAAATGAGGATAGCTATAGCACCTACCATATCAGGTTGTTGCAAGGATCAAATGAGCTGATATATGTAGACTGCTTTATAACGGAAGCTATTATTATCCTCACTCGTCTTTCAAGAGAATCCTCTAGGTACAGAAGTAATCTCGTCCATCCTCCAGCCTCCACTCAGGTATGCATGGTTGTAAATCAAGAAAGTTTCCAACTCCTTAACCCCTCACTGTCACCCTACATCTACAAATCTGTTACCAAATCTTGTCATTTCCACCTCCCTATGTCTCTTCCTCCTCACTCACAGAGGCTCCACTGTCATTGGGGCTCTCCATCACCTCTCCCTTGGACATTATCCTTCTAATTAGTCTTCCTGCCTCAAGTCTCTCCCTTCTCCAATCCATTCCCCACTCAGCTGCAAAAGTGATTCCTAAAGCACAGATCCGACCATGTTCCCCTCCCCAAAAAAACCCCCAATAGCTGTTATTTCCAGGATCAAGCAAAAAGTTCACTCTTTGGCATTTAGAGCACTTTAGAATAGGGCCCCTTCCTACCTTTCCAGTCTTTTTACACCTTACTTTCCTCCACTCACTCTACAATCTAGTTACAATGACTGTTCTTTCCAACATGACATTTCATCTCCCCACTGTTTTTGGCACTGGTTGCCTCCCCCTTCTCCCCCCCCCCCCATAGAAGGCTCTTCCTCTTCATCTCTTTGTTTCTCTGGCTTCCTTCAAGACTCTGCTTAAATCTCAACTTCTGCAGGAGGCCTTTCCCAATTCTTCCACCTGCATTCCCCTTGAACATTGCCTTCCATTTACAATATATTATGTATGTACCTTGTTACTGATAGGTCATTTCTCCCGTTAGAATGTGAGGTCCTTGAGAGCTGAGACTTTTTTGCTGTTTTTGGGGGTTTTTTTGGTTTTACCTTTCTTTGTATCTCCAGCACTTAGTGTGGTGGCTGGTACATAGTGGTTGCTTAATAAATGCTTGTTGATTGACTACCTGATTTTTTTTTATTCTTTTCTAGAGGAAAGCTAGAATGTCATAGTGATGTCTGAAATCCAAAAGTCTGGAAAAGGAGATTTGGCACATAGGGAGCTGAAAAGAGAACTAGGTTGCAGGTAGAGAGGATGTTCTTTTATTGTCCACATTAGGGAAATGATAGTGATGTCACTGGTCTCCCCGTTTTCCAGACTAATCCCCTCTCCAATCCAGCCTCTACATGTTGAATAATCTACCAAGTGCATGGCTCTGATCATGTCACTTCTTCACTCACAAACCTTCAGTGACTTCCAACTGCTTACCAAGTAAAAGAAAAACTCCTGACTGGCATTCAAGGCCCTCTGTAACCTGGCTCCAACTTACCTGTCTAGCCTGATCACATAATACTATTTTTGTTACACTCCAACCCAACTGGCCTTCTCTCCAGCCCCATTTCTCCTCCTGATCTCTTCCACCTCCATACCTTCGCTCCCACCGTTCCCATACCTGGAGTTCTTGGCAGAATTTGTTGACTTGAACTAAGTTGTCAGCCAGGACGTGCAGACCCTTTTAAATCTGACTCCCATCAACCTTTCAAGCCTTCTCCTACATTGATGCATTCTATATTTCAGCCAAATTGGCCTGCTAGCTGTTTCCGCTTTCATTCTGCTTTTGTACAGGTGGTCCCTTAGGCCTGAAATGTGCTGCCTCCCCATTTCCACCTCTTGGAATCCTTGGCTTCCTTCAAGTCATGGCTCTGGTGCTGCTTTGTATTTGGGGACCTTTCCTGATCCCCTAGTCCTTGTTACTAATGTACTCTCCCACTGAAGCCACTTTACATCATTTTCTGTTTTCTGTGACAGTGTGTACATGTTTACCTATCTATATGTTTTGTTTCCTTCAGGAGTTTGTTTTTTTTCTCTATCCCTGTCACCTGGCACAGGGCGTGGCACATCGTAGGTATTTAGTAAATGTTTTGGGGCTGAATTGAATTACTTTGAAATCATTTGAAATCCCCACACCTTCAGGTGCCTTCAGAGGAGAGGTGATGGACAGAGATGCTGAACTCAGGGTGGCTCTTATCTAGGTCTGTGCCAGGAGGCTATTCATGATAATAAGTGCATTACAAACAGATCAATTGGCTAAGGCACAAGGAGCCCACTTCCTGAGAGCTGGGGCAGTCCAGTTCGATAGCCATTCTATTCTTAGAGTAGGGGGAGTGAGGGGAAAAGATGACCAAAGCAATCCTGCCCAGCCATCTCAGCCAGCAGGAGCATTGTGGGAAAAAAGCAGATAGGAAGCATGCCTCGGTAACCCCTTAACCCTATGGTGACTGGCAAGGCAGAGCAACTTTATTTTCCTGAGATCTACAAGGAGAATTGGAGTGGGGGTAGCTTGTAGATCATCATTTCTATAGGAGAAAGGAAGAAGTCGGGATGAGTAATGGGTGTCCAATGGAGGAATGAAGAGGTCGATTGGTTTGCAGGTCATGCAGGTTGAAGAAGTGGGATGGTTTGTAGATAATTTTGATAGGAGAGAGAATCCATTAACTCCTTAACC